CCGGGGAGGGGGTGAGCCAGGGCCCCCCCCAGACCAGACCAGACACTCATGGCATGTTGGGGGCCCCGCCCGTGCACCCCGGCTGCAGCCAGAGGGGACTCAGGCGGCAGGTAGGAAAGGTTTCTTGGTTCCCAGGGCCATGGTGCAGCGTGGGAGCCTTAGGCCTCTTGGGGGGAAGGGGTCCTGGATCCTTCCCCCTCCCCCTTTCCTGCCCTTAGCCCAGCTGAGACTGACTCACTGCACCCCACCCTGTCTCCCCTCCCAGGTAGGGGCCCAACACACGGCACAGCCCTGGGCGGGGCCAGGCAGGGCCTGCACTCACCTTGGCCCCCACGCCGGGCAGGGTGCATAGCAGCCTCCTGGCCTCTGGGTAGGGGAGGGTCCTGGATCCTTCCCCCTCCCCCTTTCCTGCCCTTAGCCCAGCTGAGACTGACTCACTGCACCCCACCCTGTCTCCCCTCCCAGGTAGGGGCCCAACACACGGCACAGCCCTGGGCGGGGCCAGGCAGGGCCTGCACTCACCTTGGCCCCCACGCCGGGCAGGGTGCATAGCAGCCTCCTGGCCTCTGGGTAGGGGACGCTGCGCAGCTGGTGCAGCCCCTGAGCGCCAAACTGCTCCAGGACGGCCTGGGCGATCTGACTCACAAACCTCGCTCGGTAGCCAAAGCCCAGGGCCCGGAGCCGGCCCTCGGTGTCAGCCCCTGCATTGGAGCACCAGGTCAGCCCGGGGCCGAGAGGGGCTGCCAGTGGACCGGCTAGGGCCTGCAGCGAGGGGAAGGCGTGGTGCGGCTGCGTGCCCAGCTGGCAGAGGCGGCGCCCGAAGGCCTGGCAGAGGCGCTCGATCATGCCTGTGATGCGTGCCAGGTGGTTGTTGGAGGTGCAGAGGAAGGAGAAGAGACACTCAACGGGGTCTTGGCGCAGTACACGGATGCCTGCAGGCCAGAGGCAGCCTCAGACATGGCAGCGCCCAGGGCCATGGCCCCACAGCAGGCGCTCAGGCCCCCGGTCTAGACCAGCTGCGGGAGCAGCCCTGCACTGCCCCACCCACAACTCCTGGGGACCAGCTGAGCAGAGAAATAGCCCCCCCCCCAGGACCCTCCCCTCCCCTGCTGAGCCAGAGAGACTTCATCCCTGCCCACAGTAGGGGTAGGAACATGCCAATTGGTAGCCAGCTCCACCCTGCGCACGCCAGGGTCCCCCAGCACTTAGCCTCTCCACAACAGACCATGAGAGCCCCGCACTGCTCCGCAGGTACCCAGCCGAAGAATGAGCCGCAAACACCCACAGCAGCCTGCGAGCTGTGGATAGACGGGGGAAAGCAGACACGCAGGGCTGCAGGTGCCCTCGGAGAACAGAGCGGCTAGCTGTGGATTTGTAGGGCTGGAGACATGCCTGTTTGTGCTCTAGGCTGTCCAGAGAATTCCTAGGGAGCGTCCCTTCTTCCCTGAGCCCCTGTAGGTACACACCCCAGCGGCCGGACCAAGGCCCTTAGTTTTGGGGGGGCAGTAGGGGGCAGCAGCTGCGTGCAGCAGGATGCAGAGTTTCTTCCCATTCCCTGGGCTATGAGGGAAGCTCAGGTCATCGACTACTCGAGGAGTTCCTTACGTCCCTGGGTCCCATCGAATGGGGTATGTGAGCATGTGCCTGGACAGCACAGCCACGGGGCCGCTCATGTAAAACAGGCCTTAGCACTGCCAACGGGCAAGCCTGACACTGCAGCCAGGAGTGCAGGTCCCCTGGGCAGGGGGGAGCCCAGACAGGATCGGGTCCTGCAAGCAAGAAAGGCCCACAGGCCTCTACTGAGCTTAGGCCTGGTCTGACAAGCTGCAGGTGCTGACTGAGCCTGCCTGGGCCTGCTCCGGGCACTCCTTGGACAGAGCCCCGGGCAGCTCCAGAACCGGCGGAGGAAGTGAGGTGGGTCCCACCTACCGCTGTGGACAAGCCCACTTTGCCCAGAGCCCCAAGAGTAGAGCAGAAGCATGGGAAGAGCCACGAGGCTGTCGGGGGGCAGGCGGGTGCTGGGCAGGCCAGG